AATTTGCGGACAAAACGTGTCGGAAGTGGAGAGGAGTGGTGTCTATGAGAGGACTAATGGAGAGTCTGTCAGGGATTATGAGGCAGACATCGAGATTAAGCTATATAAACATCAACAGGATCAAACTGTCGATTTGTAAACAACCATGCACTTATATTTAGATTTACTATTTTATATTAAAAAATTTAATTCATTTTTAGTCATAAAAATATAATATTTTATATGTTTAAATACATGCATGTTTTAATATTAATTAATAAATTTGCATTTTATAAGTAACATACATTGCCAATCATTTTACTATGTTATGCTAATTTGTAAATTACTTCTATTAATCTAATAATAGTCTATTATTAATAGGATTATTACTAAATATTTGATAGATAACTTGAGATACTAGTAATTGTGGTGCTATGCGTACCATTTCCCACAACACTGCGTGCCATAGAAACGTGGACTATGAGTACGACAATGATGTGGACCCACAGCTGAACGATAAGGGCGGCGATAATAGTCAAGTGGTGGCGGCCGACGACACGGTAAAACGACTTTATACAGTATTTTAGATAAAATATAATATAATACAAATAAAAGCCGTAATATAATATAAAAATTATGTTAAAATTATAAATTCAAAATAGGTCATATTTTATTGGCAGTAAGCAATTGATTGCATATCTTTTCATTACAAATAACTAATAAAAAAAATTCTATAATTGTGCATGTTTATTTTTATGCAATAGTTTACGACTCGATGCAAATCAAACCCACGGGACTATTGGAGGGTTTGTTCACAAGCCTCGGCCGGTTTGGAGTCTGTTTTCCCTCCACTTGTAATCCAAAAAAGATTAATCGGGCGTTGAATACAAGTATGAAATATTAAGTTTAATTATTATGTTCATTGCTTAAATAATTGTAATTAAATCTAATTAAGCTTGTTTAAAAATATATTAGTTATGTCCCCGAGTGGTAAACAATACGTAGAGATTGAGAAGGAGTGTAATGTCAAGAATAAGGATATTAAACGCAATGACGAATCAACGGACGGCACAGTTAGTAGTGCTATAATAAATATTTTACGTGTTAATTTTTAAAATAATTATTACTTACACGTTAGATCAATATTCATAACCCTGGTACTATTAGTAGTGTTGAGCACTGCCATAGAGTTTTACTAAAATTATAAAAATAAGAGTTTTGACCGCAAACTTGTCATAAAACAATCGTTGTTAATATTCTCAGCCATCAGTAACACCAAGTTGTTATTCAAGAAAAATCCGAAACATTTGAACACAATTAGCACAATATTACTAATGTTTATATCGTTGGAATTGTTGGGCCGATCGTACGTTCAGCCCGTGTTTTACAATAACATAGGCCTCAGGCGACAAAATACGGGCATAACTAAGGAGTTCTCAACCGCTAAAAAGTTCTTTTGGCTCAGAAACAGCTCGTATTCGATGTCTATATTTATTCTGATGAGGTGAATTACTTTTATTGTATATGGTCATTGTAGTTTTATATTTATATTTTTATCAAGTCAAAATAGTTATAATTTTTAAAAATAATTGATTAATTTTAATTAAAAACAAATAATTGAGAATAACACACCATACGTATTTTATTTGTTGCAATTTAGTATACTCCTATAAAGCATTTAATATATGTTACAGTTTTTAATAATAAATTAACAATTCAGAATTATTATTATTGCTCGTGATAAGTCGTGAGAATTGTAAATCGTTTTAACATTTTTAATTATTTTTTAAAGTATAACTTTATTATTATGTATTAATTACAAAATTCATAATAACCATTAACTTTATTAACTTACAGTGCAATAGTTTTGGCGTACGTATGTGGTCATAGTACAGGGTTGGGCATAAGTAGAAAGAGTTTTAATTAATTTTTTAAAAATACTTAGAGTTGAGATATTTTGTTCAAATAAATTTTGTTTTATTTAGAAATAATGATAGTTTTAGTGGAACTAATGGATTTTTAACATTTTTAATTATTTTTTAAAGTATAACTTTATTATTATGTATTAATTACAAAATTCATAATAACCATTAACTTTATTAACTTACAGTGCAATAGTTTTGGCGTACGTATGTGGTCATAGTATGTGGTCATAATAGTTTTATATTACCGTGTAGTTTTATTAAGTCAATATTGTTATTATTTTAAATAATAATTTGTTAGTTTTAATGTAAAGTTTAAAATGATTACTCGAGATCTCTATGATCCAGATATATTTTATTAGGTATAATTTAGTATAATTTTATAAAACATTTAATATTAGTTACGGGTTTTAACAATATATTAATTTATTATTATACAATATATTTACTACACAATCCATAAATAATCATGAAACTATTTTTACTTACAGTGCAATTGTTTTGGCGTACAATATATGCGGTGATAAATGTAAATCCAAATACAATACTTTGCATTATTTAAAGTATTTAATAAACCGATACTTAACTTCTATTTCGACGTATAATTGTCCCCATATTACTCATATATTTGATCCCATTAATTGGTGATGGTCCAATTTGGCATTATTTTTAGCCAGTTCATGTGAAACCATGCAAACAAAATCTGATGGTATCGCTATTATTCTACAGTAATTATATGACGGGAATTGATAAAGTGGTTAGTTATTGATTAAATAGTATTATTTAATTAATAGATATATAAAATCAGTCTAGTATAAAATATTAATAGTTAAAAAAAACTTATTTTAATAATTTAATTCCCCTTCCTTTTTCTTACTAATTTCTATAGTTATAAAAATCATAATATAATTTTATCATCTTTAAAAATTTTATTACAGTTTATTATTAAAATATTTGTATAGTTATAAACTAAATATATAACAACATCTATTATATATTTTTTATAAATATGCTATATAATATATATAAAGATATAATATTGATAACAGCATTGCAATTATACATTGTTATAAAATTAAGATTTAATAATTAATGTTTCTAGATATTAATTAATTTATGCTATTTCACCCACCAGTGTAATATGCCCAGCGCCACATTCTCAGCCATATTTCAACTGCACATATTTGCACCGCTATTACTCTTACTGATCAAGCTCAAACACGTTGGGTTTGCCATACTAGCCCTACTGGCCTGTGTTGGTTGCTTTCTAAGCATAGTACCAAGGTTATTCATGGACTTTCGGATAATGCCCTACGAAGTAGACCGCATGGAATCTACGCCCGAAATGAGCCATTCATTCATTCACTACTTGGGCTCTACTGAGCAAAACATCTCGACATTCATAGTGGGTCTGGTGTGGGGTTATCTCATACGCTGTAAACCCGACGCACTCAACAAAGTGGGCAAAAACGGTGTGCTTTGCCTTTGGG